CGGCTGGGCTGGACTCTTTGGTTCTCGGTGAAGGACAAATCCTTGCTCAAGTTAAACAAGTTGTGAGAAGTGGACAAAACAGTGGAGGCCTGGGAAAGAACATTGATAGAATGTTCAAGGATGCAATTACAGCTGGAAAGCGTGTGCGTTCTGAGACTAACATATCATCTGGTGCTGTTTCTGTCAGTTCAGCGGCAGTTGAATTGGCCCTGATGAAGCTTCCAAAGTCTGAAGCCCTGTCAGCTAGGATGCTTTTGATTGGTGCTGGCAAAATGGGAAAATTAGTGATCAAACATCTGATTGCCAAAGGATGCAAGAAGGTGGTTGTGGTTAACCGTTCAGTGGAAAGGGTGGATGCAATCCGCGAGGAGACGAAAGATATCGAGATTGTGTACAGGCCGCTCTCAGAGATGTATGAAGCTGCAGCTGCAGCTGACGTCGTGTTCACGAGCACTGCATCTGAAACCCCATTGTTCACAAAAGAGCACGCAGATGCACTTCCCACTATTTCTGATGCCATGGGTGGTGTTCGGCTTTTCGTCGACATATCTGTCCCAAGGAATGTCAGTGCGTGTGTCTCTGAAATTGGCTCTGCACGAGTATACAATGTTGATGACCTGAAAGAGGTGGTGGAAGCCAACAAGGAAGACCGTCTCAGGAAGGCAATGGAGGCGCAAACAATCATCACTGAAGAGCTGAAACGGTTTGAGGCATGGAGGGACTCTCTGGAGACCGTTCCAACCATCAAGAAGCTGAGGTCATATGCCGACAGGATCCGGGCCTCGGAGCTCGAGAAGTGCCTACAGAAGATCGGGGATGACGTTCTCACCAAGAAGATGAGGAGAGCTATCGAGGAGCTAAGCACCGGCATCGTGAACAAGCTCCTCCACGGTCCGCTGCAGCACCTGAGGTGCGACGGCAGTAATAGCCGCACCCTTGATGAGACGCTCGAGAACATGCACGCTCTCAACCGGATGTTCAGCCTCGACACTGAGAAGGCGATCATCGAGCAGAAGATCAAGGCTAAGGTGGAGAAGACCCAAAATTGAGGACATGAAGCAATTTTTCTTAACCGTGTATACATACCCTCCAATCTGATTCCAATTTTTTTGATCATTTCACTTACTGAGCTCCTCCCCTGCTTGCTGAGACGTCAACTGTGCCGCACATTAGCGCCATGGCGGCAACTCAATCTGTTGAGAGAGAGTGGGAAATTGTCCCTACTCCAGCTGCTTTTCTTTGTACATTATTGCTTGAGCTGCTGTGGCAAGAGCTCCATTCTTCTTAATCCTAAGTTACATACTTTATTCGGACGAAATAGACAGGAATCTATCAATGTGGCTGATGTTGTTTTCCTTTGGTATTATACTTGTAAGGTTTACTGATATTGTATACCTTTTACGTTAGCCCTGTATTCAGATTGTTGAGCATGCATTAACATTTCCAAAGAGTTTAACCTTGTTTCTGTAGAGGCCCGATTGGTTTGAGTCATATGCACTTAATTCAAAAAAAAATTACCACACAGCATGACTATTAACATGCTGCTTTTTTCATATTTAATACTTATAATCAGTATCAAATATCCAATGTGACAAGGACTAAATTGGCCACCTGCTGCCCACTGCTGCAGCTACCCCCACCTGGCTGCTCAGGTGCTGTCGCCACGGAGGACGAACCAGCCGGAGACAACGCTACCTCCGACTTCAACGCCCACAATTTCGGAGACGCCAATGAGGAACCAGTGGCAGAACCAAGGGCCAGTAGGGGCCGGTCCCCCCTTATATAGGAATTGAATATACAGTGTTTGCTAAGATTAATAATGTGGGAGTATATTAAGCTTTTGTTTACTAGCGACCCCCATGCTTACTGTTGTCACAGCAATGACTGGCGGCAGCCGCAGTTTAAGTTGCATCTTTGACACTTAGAAGAGAGCGTACAATTCTCAGAGTTCTTATGGGTGCTTAGTTTGACACTTAGGTGCCATCATATTTTTGTGAGTTATCTACAAAGTGTATTAGACATATGCATTAGTAAATCATCCTACAATACATCTGTCTACTACCCTTAGTTTCTTTTGATTAAAATGAATTGATGCTGATCCGTAACAATTTAGTTTCTTTTGATACATCAGCATGTTCGTTTGGCTGTGGCTTGTCGTAAACGATCGTAAATTTCTAGCCGGAACAGTATTTTTCTCTCACACAAACCAGCCAGCAGTACTTCTTCACAAACCAGCAACGAAACGAACCAGCCAACCGAACAGGCTGACAGATTGCCCTTTCCAGTATCAGGGCCATGTCGAGGGCCGTGCAAACGGTGCGAGGGAACAGGGCCTCTAATTACCAAGGGCCCCAAATTTTGTTGGATTTACTAGCTACCAACCATCACTCCATCTTTAGTTCATCACCAGGTGTGTGCAAACTGCTAGTGACTATCAGCTATAGGCCTAGCTATAGGGGATAAATTCAAGCCCATGCCGTTAACTTTCGTGATGGATTAGCGCTGGAACAGGCATGAGTCATGACTGTTATAAAAAAAGGTCATAGGTCATTTTAATCTTTTCCTTCGATTTGAATTTACTATCCTTCGTATCATTATATGAACTTTTTTTTCCAGGCAATCATTATGTGAACTATAACTATCTCTCCTTCGTATGATTACGGCTAGTGTTCTAAGGTTAATATGTATATAAGATATGCATGTAGAATTGATAATTATTGTAGTCCTTTTTATCAAAGGATAAAGCCTCATTTTACAGTTTGGTACAGGGCCTCAAATTTTACCGGCACGGCCCTGTTCCAGTTGACAAGATACAGTATCATTTACCGGGGTCAAAAGTTATCATACTGTGACAGTTAAAACATGTGACCATATGCCTTCAACTTCCCTGTGAATTAAGTTGTACTGTGCTTGGTCTCCTAGGCAGCAATCATATATCGCTCCTGTTGTGAACTTTGTGAAAATTCCACATCTCATAGTTTCTTATTTAAATGTTTGGTTTTATTCATTCTTTTCGTTGGCATCAGGTTTATCCATGTAGTTGAAAGTTGAAACTACGTATATGAAAGCATTCAAGAAACGGCGTTGAACAGATCCATGTGTTGGCGTGTGCACATATTCGATCGTACTCGCAAGAGCGTGTGGTAAACCGGTAACAGAGTGAGCGGCAGCGGGAAAGCCAGCTACAACCAGTGGAAGTCTGCGTAGGACAGAAACCACCATATGTCTAGGAAATGGTTTGAAACCGGTTTGAGACATGGTATAGTTTGGTTTGGATTTGGGAGGGTGAGTGGTGGGCTGGTCTGGGCCACTGGTTTAATTAATGTTCTTTCACAGAACAGTTTGATGTTGTTTTGAGCCCCGCACACACACACGCACACTCCCTATCCCAGAGAAAAGTGGGTGTGGGTTCTTCCAACCATCGTCGGTAAAGATCGCTAGTTGATGACTTGATGTGCTCTGTTCGGGGCGATGGTGCCCAAGAAGAAAGGGAACCCAGGAGCCGGGCGGGACGCCGCTCATCAGTGTGAACCTCTTGACGCACGGCTTGAGCGCGAGGCCGTCCCACCCCATCCATCGTTTTCGCGCGGTCACATCCGCGAGCAATCCGGGGAGGAAAACCAGGGTTCAGTTGGTTGCTGTACCAGCTCAGTTGTCGAGGACGAGGTGTAGCTAATGACTGAAACGTTCAGCTTATGCCCTGTTTAGTTCTAATAAATTTTCACCTCAAAATGTCACATCGAATCTTATGGCACATACATGGAGTACTAAATGTAGACGAAAAAAAACTAATTATACGGTTGGATGAGAAATCGTGAGACGAAACTTTCGAACCTAATTAGTCCATAATTAGACATTAATTGCTAAATACAAACGAAAGTGCTATAATAGCTAAACCTAAAAAATTTCGCGAACTAAACGCGCCCTTACTCAGGCATGTGCCATACTGACATGCATGCATGGTTCCAGACTTCAGTTCCAGTTCCTTGGAACACTCATGCTTCTACAGTTCTACTACTTGCCGATGGAACACTGTGCCGTTGTCCGAGAATTTTAAGTACAGGTTTGTTTGGTTTCTCTGACATTGAAGCGCAGTGCAGTGCTAGAAATCCACTCACGTGGCATGAAATCCATGTGAGTACTTCTTTTTTGTTCGCTTATGAAGAAGAAAAAAGGCAATGGCTACGACCGACCCAACACTGATGGCTGATGGCCACCTGTGTACTCTGGCCTTTGATTGAGTCAAACTATTACACCTAACAATGGATAGATGATACGGTGCAGTTTGTGCTCTTCTGCGCCCGTGGAAGACTTCTACGACATGCATGTCTTTTTGCACAATGTGTACACATCAGCCATTGCAAAATCCCGGCTCGATCCTGGCACATTTTCTTTTCTGATGATAGAGCAACAGAGCATGGCCTGATGGCCATGTGAGTGAGGTTCAGCGTAACTGCCAAAGCAAACAAACTCTTCTTGAAATTTATGTGCACTGTTCTCTTCAAGACATGCCGTGTAATTAGACCTGGTTTATTTCCAAAAAGTTTTCTCAAAAAGTGTTACAGTAGTCATCACATCGAATCTTACGATACGTGTATGGAGCATTAAATGTTGACGGAAAAAAAAACTAATTATACAGTTTGGTAGGAAATCGCGAAATGAACGTTTTGAGCCTAATTAGTCTATAATTGAACACTAATTGCTAAATAAAAACAAAAATACTACGGTAGCCAAATTCTCAAATTTTGCGTAACTAAACGAGGCCTTAATATTATAAGAGATCAATCTGTCACGACGTCACGTCGCTGATGAGAAGTCAAGTCCGTGCTCATCATGGCATTTACTGCTTTAGACTTCCAATGGAAAAAGTGGTTGTTGATCCATAAATATTCTCACTATAAAGCACCAAAGCATCAGATATTCAGATACTTGTGTTCAAACTTCTCGGTCCACTTCGCCTTTTCTTCTCTAACGTTTCTCTTGAATCACAGCATCGCGTCATGGCGAGAAGATCCCTCAAAGCCAGGCCGACGCTGGTGCTCATCAGCCTTCTTCTAATGGCAGACCTGGCAATCGTCGGCTATGGCCGAAGAGTTGCAGAACTGGATGTCTTAGCAGTCGGCGACAGCGGAGGCGGTGACCGTGGCTCGCCGCCGCGCAAAGGCTGCTGCTTGTCCAACCAGGCATCTTCTTCAGCGTCAGGGCGACACCTTGGTGATTGCTGCAAGCACATGCATGTTGTGTCCAAGAGGTTGGTGCCCCAGGGCCCAAACCCTCTGCATAACTGAAGGAGAAACCGTTCTGCACTTGCAATTGCAACGAGAGATAGTCAGAGTTTTTTTTTATGCCGCCATACAGAGTGATTAGTCAAGCTGTTGTTCTTTCGTGAGGTCATGTAATCTATAGGCTTAGTTAGAGCTTAGTTTGCTGCTAGTTCATACGGTCTCTCTCACTTTTGTCACTTTTGAGAGCTGCTCTTCATCAGTCAGAGACTGAAACTTTGTAGTAATGGATGGTTGAGTGCAAAGCTCTTGCTGAGGCCGAAATAAAATTCCTTTATCTACAAAATGCTTTCTGATGATGAGAATTTTCACTGGGATTTGTGATTCTGACATTGTATTCTTCTCTACATGCTTAACTGTTGTAGTCTTTTCAGTGGATTTTCTCAGATGATCCTGTGCTATGGTATGACCATTGAAATTGTAAGATGGGAATCACATCTAGTGGTCAATTGCAGTGCAACCCCTCTCTGCAAGTGAAAATAGCACTCACTAACTGACTGCTCGTCCAAGACTCCAGCATACAGAGGCGTGTTCTTGTCCATGTGCAGTGCAGACTAAAATAAGATCAGCTCTTTGATGTCTTTGATAGAAATAGAATAGTGCTACGATGATTGGTGAGTTAGCCAGTAGGACACTCCAAGGGTTCTAAAAAACAACATCAGCATTGTTGATTCCCAAACGCCTCGTGACAAGTGATGAAGTATGATCCAAATGCGTACCGTTGTTTAGTCAGGCAGGTGGCAGCTGATAGATTAAAGAAACAAGGACAGTAGAGGATAGTTTTTTTCTCTCTCTCTTCCGCTTCTCGTCTTTGAGTAGGAGATGGTAATTCATCAGAAAATGGCACAAGCAAAGGAAAGATCTTGTGTATTGTTCAGCTGTAACACGTAGGCTGTGGTTTAAGAAAACTTAATGCGACATGATTGGAGTTGACGAACACGTTAGCAGCGCGGCATTTTTCTCAGAGTGAAGAGGATAGGTGGGGACTGCTGGAAATTCTGCAACTTTTGGTCAACTGCATGCGTATCCTTAATTGATGTTCCGAACTTTCAACAATATGTGTGAGCAAAGAATGCAACACTAAACTTGTTTGTCCTGTTGTTAATCCAAATGGACAGGGGGTTTTGAGTGACCCTGGAACTCTAAAAAATGTTAGACACCGGAATGAACTTTCAAAGGATAGGATTACCTGGATGCTCAGTCAACTTTGTGACTGGAATCTAAATTCGGCTGCCGTCCAGCCCAACTGCTCTTTTGCCCTCGAGTAATCATACAAGCAAGCCATGACGTCACACCGTATGATATGACGACGAATCTGTCATGCATTTGACAAATGCAACATGTAAGCAAATATTAGACGAATCCAAAGTTGGAGCAAGGACACCCCACCGAATCTGTGATGCCCTGCTCCTTAATTCTGGAAGTGAACCTGCAGTCCTCGCCGATCAGCAAATTCAATTCAGCATCAACTTACTTGCCCCAACTCCATATCCCTTCCAGTCCAGCTTTCTTGCTCCTGTTCTCCACCACGTCAATGATGATTTCAACATGGCGTAGCCTGATGCTATTAGCATGCGTACTGCTAATCGCAGAGTTTACCAGTTTCAGTGAAGGGAGGCTAATCGTCGCTGGAGAAGACGACAGACCGGCGGAGTCTTCAGTGGAGGAGCAGATTTACAAAATGGCAAGAGCGCAAGAACATCTTGGCAGTGGCTCTCCTCCCGGCCGAATGTATCAAGCATCTGCAAGACCAGTGCCTCGAGGCTCAACTCCCCTGCATAATCGATAGTTCAGGTGACCTCATTTTGTCTGACAAGCCGTAGAACAATCGTAGCTCTCAATCAGGAAAAAAAAAGCCCTGTGCAGACGCTGGTTGGGCAGTACACACGTCTGGGGAGGACGAGAAGGAACAAATAGCAAAAAAATGGTGGTTTGCCAGAGAAGGCGCATGGGCCTAAGCGGGCCAGGAGTGCAGCGGCCTGTTATCCTCCCACCGTTGGAAGCGGGTGGTATTCGCTGCTCTGTAAGGCCAGCCTCACGCAATGCCCACCACTCTAGGTACCGGGACGCCAAAGCCTTCGCCAAAGCGCCCACGGCCCACTACGCAACTTGGAACGGGCGGGCCGCAGAATGCAACACCAGGCCCAGGTCCAAGCGCCACGATTGACATCCACACCACCTTGTTGCCCCCGCTCGGGTTACAAGCAGTCGCTACCTGCTCGGCGAGTGAGCCACTGAGTGCTGGCTATTTAAGTGGGTGCTATGCTCTATGAACAGGCAGTGTGGTACTAAACAGCACTAGTGTCATGCCAGTTGGCAAAGCTTCTGCTTTTGAGCCATTCTTAACTTGTGGGGAGAGAGTGGGCCTTTCCTGTAATTTTATCGCCTTGGGCCATTCTTAACTTGTGTTGATGGTTGGGCTTGTCTGAAGAATTTTTACAAGTGTTGCACTGCTGCCTACAAAAGAAGTGAGGCTGTGAAAGTGGCAGCATCGGAGAATAAAGAAGGGCGTCAGGCGTCAGGCGTCAGGCGTCAGGCGTCAGGCGTCAGCTGGAATAGCTGCTCACATCCATAAGACCATAACGATATCAAGCCGTCAATCTTAACTCTGTACCTTGAATTCTCATTTCAGATACGGATGAGACTCAAATTAGTACTTAAACCTTCTTTCCTCCTTACTGTACTTGTGCTCAAACCAAAAAGAAAAACTCAATTCAGTACCTGTTTTTAGAATTCATATTCGTACCTATTCTTTTTTTTTCGCGATCGGGCCGTTCACTCGTTTTTCATTAAGAGGATAACAATCACCGTTAAACAAGAGCACGAACGCGAACGCAATGGCGAGGGTCCATTGTGATCGGCGGCGGCACACCTAGCTACTGGATTCGAGAACTCATTCCCTGCTTGAAGATATGGCCAACAACGACATGTTTGTTAATGGTATGATGGAAACCTGTTTGCATTGCTACAAATGGCTCACTATACTTCCAATTCATGGTTGCAGTAAAGTAGATTTAGACATGTATGCGCTGATGTGATTAGTATAGAGAATAGATGGTCCTTTGTGTTCATCAATCCGTAGTATATAAAACTAAAACTTAGGCTAAGGGAAATGCACTCTGGCATGATTGTGTGACACGCGAAAGTAAATGCATATGCATGCAGACGAACATTGAATCTTCGAATGACACACATCTGAAATTTGCAGAGTCGCTCGAGATCTCTGCAGCAATTTTGGAGCCCATAATAAGGGAAAAAATAAAAAGAAATCAAATCATCAGCCGAACAGGCTGGGACGGAGCGCCGTTTTTTTTTTGTTCTTGGCTAGGAACACAACGGATCAAGCAAGAACTAATAATAAATCAATAAATGGATGGTATCATCACGCATGCTGAACGGCCGGCCGGCCCCGCGATCCATGCCATGCCTGGTCGTCACATCTTGGCGGTGGCGAAGGAGGCGGAGGACCCGGACCGGTCGTAGTAGTACTCGGGGATCGCCTGCGGCGGGCGGGCGAAGGAGCGGTTGGCCTCCTCGAGGTCCTCCTCCTCGTCGTAGTCGCCGTCGTCCTCGGCGGTGTGGAGGTGGATGCAGGAGCAGCGCTCCAGGGACGCGAAGAAGGCCGACGCCACGCCGGTGGCCACCCACATCGCGTACCCCTCCATGTTCCCGTACGACAGGATGCCGCCGTTGGCGTTGATGCCGTTCATGGCTGCCGGCCGAGGGAGAGCGGAGACGAGGCGGTGGACGATTGGTCGGTCGGTTGGTTTGGTTTGCCTTCGGTTTCAGACCCGTCTCTGTGTGGGTTGTTGGTGTTCCGATTTTTTTAGACAAAAGACAACGATGGTTGTTCCGAAATTAGGAGAGCTAGGCCCCTTCGGCACGGCTCATCCAAAACGGTTTCGTCGGTGAAACCAAAACCGGTGAAGCCAGAAAAACTGGCTTTTTTCGACTTCTAGTTCATTTTAACTCCGACTTACAAAATAGCTTCACGCTATAGTGCCTCAATTTGCGCAAAATGGACGAAGCCGAAGCCGGCATAAGCCGTGCCAAAGAGGCCCTTAGTCTGGTTGTGACTTGTGAGCCATATACAAGTGCCCAAAGGAGTTAACAGAGAGAAAAGATGGTGATGTCCCTAAAAAGTGGGCGTCCTCACCAACTCACCAGGCATAATTGCTTAGTGATGCACAAGACAGCGCAAGAGATGTTTGTTCTTCGACATGCTGCATTGCTGCTGATTGGAAGATGGTGGTCCTAGCAGATGAAGCAGCATCCCTGAGTGCCAAATAGATCAACTTATTAGTTAGCTAGGTCTTTTTTTCCTGGAATATGCAAAAGGTTTGTGCATCTTTATATTAAGTAGGAGATAGTTTTTACACGACGCGCTATTCAATAGCGCACTAATTAAGGAGGAAAAGAATGTTTGCATTATGGCATAGCCTCCTTAGCAAAGGGGTTTTGACGACTACTAACGAACCAGACAACCTAGCTTAGGTCTAAATGGGTGCAACGTTTAGTTGCTCCTGCATGTATCTTTCTGTTAGCTGGTATTGTTTTGGCTAGTTAAACTGTGGTGAAACCCCATGTGTTAGTCACGAGTGCTCACAAATTACCATTTCAAAGCCTCGTTGTAGGTCCACTAATTAAACAGAACGAACAGGTTCCACGATGAATAACACAGAATCTGTTCAATCCGTTTACTGCGATTGCAACACTCTGGGCGTTCGACGAATCTAGTGTAAACAAAAACTAAATAAAAGAATCAATCTTGCTCATCTTGACCCGTTACTCAACTATACCCATCTTAGAGCAAAGGGGACAAAAATCATTTTTTATTAATTTTGGATAGTTATAAGATGAAGGGCGGGCCTGGTACAAGCGGTAAGCGGTAGAGTCTTACCGCCTATGACAGAAAGGTCCCGGGTTCGAGTCGCGGTCTCCTCGCATTGCACAGGCGAGGGTAAGGCTTGCCACTGACACCCTTCCCCAGATCCCGCACAGAGCAAAAGCTCTCTGCACTAGATATGCCTCTTTGGATAGCTATAAGATGGAGGTGCATCAGAAGAAACTTATTGTTCATATAAGTACTCAACTATATCTATTACTCCCGTAGATTCCAAGTAAGTTTAGGAAAGTAGTATGATATAGAAAATACCACACTATCCTTTATTAACTAGAGTACTTGCACACTGATCGGTGATTGTTCTAATAACACACAAACAATAGCATTTACTACACACATCTAACTGCAGAAACTCAATATTAAAATTGAGAGATGGGAGGGGTGCAATAAATACAAAGAGACTTCGAGAAAATAAATAACCCGATGAACCATTCAGTCTCTAAAATATTGATTTATTTGTAAACAAATTTTTAAGCTGAAATCTATTTTTTCGGAACAAATGGAATATCTTTTTTGAAATAAATTTTTAGCTTCTCAGCATAAAAATTAGAAAAGTTATTTAAAACGTATTTTT